ATATATATATATATATATATATATATATATATATACACTCGATTTAAACGAGATAGGAAGTCTTCACTCGAATGTGATTACTTGATCAAATCCATTTTCAAGTCAGCTGTAAATTGAACTTAAGTTTATAAAAAAAATACTTGATTTATCCTTTCATCAGAAATTTACTTTCTTTGTGTATTTACCAGCAAATGTAACCGACGGATGTTATATACAGTAATCCAATAAATGGGGGCATTAATTGCCTCTTCCACTATTTGGAGTAGGATCACATGAACCACAAGGTACACGTGCTATATACACGCGACATTAACCGCAACTTTCGAATGGCGTTGTCTTCACGTATTTCGCTACCGTCTTTCCCATAAATGTTAAAACTAAAAGTTCGAAGGCCCTTTTCATCGTTTTAATCGTGACAGTAAATATTGAACACTTAAAGTTTGATCACAATGTTAGCATATTACAAAATTTTGGTTTGAAATTGTTTTTTTTTTTTGTTTTTTCTTACGCACGTACCTGTGGTTAGAAGTTTAATAAACAAACTCCTGTATTAAGTGTTATCCTCATTTTTACATAACCGTACGCGACGCGATTTCTTTAACTCCATTATATCTTTATAAGAGGCTATTAACTGAGTAGTTGTTGTCTACTTAGACAAAAGCTTGTTAGAGCTGGATGACGTTAATATGTGTCTAACTTTAAAAAGTGTTTTAGATTTATAGTATAGAAAAAAATCATGGAAACGCATAGGTGATGAATATACAGAAGTCACAAACAATGTGCGATTGCAAATAAACAGGCAATGTACCATTAGTACAATATAATATTACAGAACATCTAAAAGAAAGAGAATACGATGCACAGTGCACTGCTACTTTATTTTAAACGGTACAGTACATCTTGGTGTTGTATTACCATACGTTAACCAGTGTATTATTATGATACATTGTTACTCTATTAGTTATCTCTCCTAAACAGCGGTTCTTGAGCAGTTGTACATCCACTAAGCCGCTTCATTCTAACGTGTATCTAACTGTATTTACAGATAAGTCATTTATTAGTGAATTGTCTTGTTTCACGTAAAGAGCCATATTCTTAGCATATATTTAACATTCTTTGGAAAAGTTTCTACCTTGACCACTTCTATAACAAATAGTACTAGTTTCACATAATACCTTCAGAGTTTCAATAAAACTCCGACTGAAACATGAAATGTCACCTCAATTTGCGATATAGAATAGTTTCTACGAGCCGCAACTTTGATTTTACTGAAACATGAAATGTCACCTCAATTTGCGATATAGAATAGCTTTCACGAGCCGCAACTTTGATTTTACTGA